AGGGCCTGAGGTAGTGGCACTGTTTCAGAGTGCAGAGACCGACCTTGCTTGGGGCTCCAGAGGGAAATTCCTGGTGGTTTGGCCTGGCTGCAAAAAGCGTAGTCTGTTATTTTTGACTGGTACACGAGGCAGATCCTGATGATTTGGTCTGGCAGTCGTGTACAGGGCCCGCAGTGACTACTGGACTATGTAGGGCAAGGCCTGGTGATTTGCACTGGTTGTGGCGAGGAGGGCCTGACCTGACTACTGAATGCAAAGGAGTGGACCTGGTGGTTTTCCCCAAGAGGGAAGGACAGAAACTGACCTAACTGCTTGACTGTGTAGGGCAGGGCCTGGTAGTTTCGCGTGGCTATGGAGAGCAGAAACTATTAAGGGGGTGGTGAAGCTTTGCAGAGTAGGACCTGGAATAGATTCATGGCATCTTAGAAGAGGAGTGTGAGGTGTAGATCCACTGCTATGGAGGACAGCACATTTCGGAGCAGTTTGGCTGCAGAAATCAGGACCTGGTGCAGATTTCTGGCATTGGTGAGTGTGGCCTGGCTAGGTGGTGGCACTATGCAGAGCAGGGCGACTTTTGCTGATAAATGGCATGGTTGTTGTCGACCAGGCCTGACTGTGCTGCTGTAAACAAGGCCTTTTGGTGTGGTGCGGATTCCTGGCAATGGAGAATGTGGCCACACTCTCTTGAGTAAATTCCTAACAGGGCAAGCATATTTTATCGTTGTTTAATTCTTTAACAAACTATCAAACTGCTTTACCATTTTATATTGCCATTGGTAATGTAGAAGGGTTCCAGTTTCTCCACATCCTCCAAAACACTTCATATTTCTTTTCATTTTAATTGCAGTTATTGTGGATTCGAAGTGGTTTAGATTTGCATTTCCCTACTCAATAAAGGTAAGCCTCTCCCCCCACACCCTACTTATGGGCCCCCCTTCCCCTACCTTACAGGAGTTTGAACTCAGGGCTTTGCACTGTCTAGGAAGGCCCTCTACTCCTTGAGCGATGACTCTAGCCCATGGTGAGCTTCTTTTTATGTGCTTCCTGGATATTCATATATCTTCCTCGGTTAAATACTGATTAAAATCTTTTCTTAGGCCGGGTGGTGAAAACCTCGAATCCCAGCACTCAGGAGGTTGAGGCAGGATGATCATGAGTTCGAGACCAGCCTAAGCTACATAGTTAGAAGCAGTCCCAGAAAGAAAAAGGAAAAAAGGGCCCCAAGAAATCTTTTGACATTGGTTCAATTTGTTTTGTTTGTGAGTTTGAGATTTAATTGTAAACATTATTGATATATTTGGAGTACAAGTCTTTATCAGATATACAAATTGCAAACGTGTTCACTGTGTGTGACTTGTCTTTTTTCTTTGCAGTATCATCTGAACTGTAGAAGTACTGACTTTGATGAAGCAGAATTCATCATTTTTATGGTGTATGGGTTATACTGTTTGTGTATATCAGAGATCATTGCATAACCTTAGGTCACAAATATTCTAGTCTATATCTTCTAAGTGGCATTATAGTTATTCTAAAAGCATGATATTTTAGCTATTGTATATGGAGTTACAGTGTGTCAGGAGTTAATTTTTGTATGATTTGAAGGAAGGATGAGCCGCTACTCCTCCCATACAGGACACCTGGGACACGCAGAGATTAGACTGTCATATTCCATCGCATCCACCCCTGATTGATTTTCCAAGTTAGGACAAGTTTCACTCAGTTTTCTCTTTCAATGTATTTTATCACTTATTGTTTGGGTTTTTTCTTTTGTGTTATCTTTACAATTTTATTTTTTATCTCTCATTTTTCCTTATGGTTTTATTCCTTTGATCTACTTTTCATTGTTTTTTCCATTGCTAGGAACTGAGACCAGGCCCACATATTCCAGAGTTGGGTATTCTTCCTCTGAGCTATCCCCACAACTCAGTTGAGAAGAATTAAGTCCACCTCTGGCCACAACCCATTCCTACTCAAACTCTAGCAGATTTTCTTCCTTAAAGAACTGGGATGATAAAAGTTGCAGACTTAGGAAGAGGCTAAAGTCCCACTAGCCCACAGTATCTGCAGAAAGAAAGAAAAACAGTAGTAGCTAACACCATATCTACACTTGTGCTGTAGATTGCAGCCACACCTGGTCAGATTGCTTACAGCTAAAAAAGAATGAAAGTGAGCACCACAGATGGGAAGATTTCAGGGCCTTCCAGAAAATTGGCAAAAATACTAGGTAAGAAAGATACAAGTTAACTTGCACCTGGTACCAAATGGACCTAACAAATACCCACATTATTACATTCAAGAGCTGTTAAATACACATTTTACCTAATAGCACATAGAACATTCTCTAGGATAGATTATGAGTGCTCATAAGCCTAGTCTTAACAATTTTTTAGAAACTGAATTCATGGGAAGTTTGTTTTCTGACCATAATGAATCAAGTTAGAAATCAAACACAAAAACTTTAAACACCATACAAATAGATGGAAAATAAACAGCTTATTTTTGAACAACAAAGGAATTAAGTAGGAAATAAGAAAAAATAAGTTCTTCTTGATAAAACAAAAATGGAGACACTAAACATCAAAACCCATGTGATGTAGCAAAAGCACTACTAAGGAAGTTATAGCAGTCAATGTCCAAATCAAGAAAGTACACCATAAAAAAAATTTAAAGACATGAAGGAACAGATTACCACTGCATCTCAAGATACAAGTGAAACAAGAGCGGTCTTCATCCAAAAGTAACAGAAATTAAGATCAGCGCAGGAAAAATGCAATGGAGACAAAAATATAAAAGATCATTGGAATAAAGTTCTGGTTCCTCACGAAAGAAAATGAAGGACACGAACCTATGCTAAACGAATTAAAACACAACAAGAGAGATAACTCAAACAACATCTGAGGTAAAAAGAAGACATTCCAACAACATCATAGGAAAACACATGGACACTGCTCATCACATGCAGATTCACAGCAGTGCCACAACCAAAGAAAGATGTATTTCTTTCACCTCTCCCTCCTGCATAGTGTACAAATGCCTGTCACTAACAGGTAGGGCAAGAAAACCTTTGAGCTACTCCTGTCCCTCTACAGTGCAGGCTGATGTGACACTGAGCAGTGTAAATAGTCTTATTGTTGCCCCATCCTCGAGGTACTGCCAGAAGAATTCCAACAGAAAGTTTGCCTGGCCACAGATTCATCATACTTCAACTTGCACCCACAGGCCACTGAGCTGAAGAAGTCTAGGAGAAAAGCCCTGGGTATTACATGAGCAAAGAAGGTCCCAAGAATTTATTTGCCTAGCTCAAACCATATCCAGTTACCATTTGCTCTGTAATGGACACAACAGCTGACACAGGCAGAAGGGAACCCCAGGCTTTTGCCCCAATCCAGGTGTGAATGATTGTGGGGTTAAGGTACCATTTCTGAGAAAAAAACAAAACAAAACCCTAAGTACTAACAGCATTTGCTGTCACCACATCCATGTGACTCTTACTGCCAGGTGACGCACTATGTTATCTGAACATGCACTGCTGCCCTGACTGGTCTGAGTGTCAGATAGGTGGTGATGAAGTACCTAGGCCCATACCACTGTCTGGAAGACAGTTGTATCAGGTCTGCGCTACTGTTACAGACAGAGCCAGAGACTCTGACAAATAACCCAGCTTATGCTAACAATGCCTAAAACCATTTAGAACATAATCAAAACCATGAAACCAGAAAATCTCCACACAATGTTTTCAAAACAACTCCTTCAAGTAGAGTACATAGAGCTGTGTCTTATTCCTGCTTTAATGTTTAATTGCAATTTTAGACTTTCCAGGATGAAATGGTAAAATGGACTATCAATCAAAAGCAAAAGTGTTTCACAACAAAGATCCACAAATTGCAACCACAGTTGTCTTTTCAAAGAATCTTTAGACAAACCGTATCGCTAGAAGAAAAGTGTAGAGGAGTTTTACACTCATGAAGCACAATTCTAAGCTTTAGGCAAAGTACGGCAAGAGGATATACCCTGTAAATTCAGCAATTTCCTTTAATGTATTACTCTGAAATGTGAGTTTTGATTACTCATCAACACTGACGGTAAGTCAGCTCGTTAAATCTGCTTACTTAAGTGTTAAAAGCAGTACTTACTCTCAAGACACATCCCACTTATGTCAGTGTTCAGAACTCCACAGAGTAAGAACTTCAAACTACACCGTGTACTTATATTTCTTATTTTACTTATTTCAGGAAATAAATAACCCGGCCTCGTATCTTCAATCTATGGTGTTGTGTGTGTTTGATGTATGGCAAAATGGGACACAGTCAAATGCAGGTTTATTCGTCTTCATAGTTGTTACCTTTTTGTTACAAAGCCATGTGAAGTTGTATTCCCTTATTTTCAGTTGTGAAAATAATTGGGAGAATGTTTTACAAACTGATCAATGACTCTGTTTCCTTAAAGACGTAGACGATTGAACTGTGTGCCAGATCTTACTTTATTAGAGTTAACAAATTTATAAAATAAGCAAATCTTAAAAAGAGAGACTATGATACAAATTGCTAGTCAGATGTGCCAGTATGTGTATCATATCAGTATGTGTAACAACATGCCAGTAACACAAAGTAAGAAGACCAGATGCTCAACGTGACACTTTATTATGGTTTTATTTCTGTGAGTCTTGCATCAGGAAAATAGAGACCTCTTTTATTATGAGACTGGCTCTTCACTTGTACAATGCAATTTAATTAGAGTAAAATGACATTTTTACCTAACCAATTTTGTAAAAGTAAAAGTAAATGTTTATGTACCACTACAACCTGTCTTGTTTCAAAACTTTTCTATGTAAATACAACAGCATAGTTATTTTCACTTTCTTTTTCCCTTAAAACCTCAAGATAACTGGTTATCACTTAGTATTCAATTTCTCCAGCTGCTAATGTTACAAACCCCAAATTGCTACCCATGCTTTTAAATTTACATTTTGAAAATGCTTGTTTTTGGTACATGGCAATGTAAATGACAAACAAGAATGTATAAAATATCGAAGTTTTAAGAATACACATGGGTACATGCATTTCAAAAACAGATCGATATTCTTCAACTCCAAATGCAGATTTATGTTGATGAATTCTAAAAATTTATAAATTAGATTTAAAAAGTCTCCAGAGAACGTCCAGATAATTAGAACATAACGGTTCTGAAAGCGGCTAAAATCCACTCTGGTCACAAGGGAAACAACTGAGTGATGGCATTCGTTTACTAGAAATGAAGTATTGGTTTATCAGTGCACATGGTAGCATTACATCTACGTTTTCACATGTCAGTTAACACAACATCTTCAGTCTTCAAAGAAATATAACAAATACTTTTTAAAATGCAAACAAACCAATCTGCTTTCCTTGGCAAGCTAAATGAAGTCTTACTCTTAACAGCTGACGACCAAGATCCCGAATGTAGAACGACCCTGAGAATACTCGGGATATAACACATTGGGTTCAGCTTAGATCTGGAAGCAAGAAGAACAGGAGATGGATGAAAATAATCATTACAACATTCTACGCAATGTAAGACGCCCTTAAAGTTCTATGAACATTCTGTATATCAAATTTTCCTCTATTCCTCTCTGTTGCCAGAATATCTTTCTCGCTTTCAGAATGTTATATGTTATGCATAATATCCTTATACGTGTTACACACTATCCATAATATCCACAATACAACTCAGCATCTCCTTCCTTCTCTGTTTCTAGAGATCTGCTTGTGTTGAGGCTGATCATACACACTAAGGAATATATATAATTCTTTCCGAATAGAAGTATCACTAAACCAAATTCTCTAATTTGAGTCGATCTGGTCACAGGAGCAACACTAAATCTACCCTAACTTAATTTTAATTTAGTGTAATTTAAATTTTTGCAGATGTTCAAACCTGTAAAAAGAGAGCTGCTCTAGAAGTAGTAGAGTCCTCAGGTCTTAAACAAAAGCAGCCTTTATGAAATAGTCAAAATACCAAATTTCCTTAATAGTCCCACTTCTTTCCAATCCCTTCCCCTCTCAGCCCACTCAAAGTGTTCCAGAAGAAATAGTGCATAGATTATATTTTCTGGAAAACATGGTTACTGTGCCTACACTCTCATCTAGTCTATCATCTGTGCACACAGCTTTGTATTAATACATACAGTCTGGACAGGATCTTTAATTATCTAAAACTAAGGTCAGCTGACAAAATGTTCAGGTCTGCCCTTAAGCCACAACCAATAGTGACATGATATGTCAGTCTCTTGTCTCAGGAAAGTATCATTAATATTGTTTTGTCGTAAGACTCCTTTGGCTTAGGGTCCCGAAAGAGAATTGTACAAAGAAATTAGAAGAACATGTTCACTTACTCACCATTCTTCCTTTTTACACTTAGATAGCTTTAAGACTTATGTAACATTGGAGTGATGTATGTTTTAAAACTTGTATATACAATTTATAAATACACACACACACACACAATAGTGGTACAGAATAGGGGTAGAGGCTATGTTATTTTACAGTATAAGTAATGTAATGGTTTGGAATGATGTAAAAATAGAAAATGGGATGGTATGACAAACCACATATAAACAAATGCAAGTTGTAAAATTAGCTGATGTTTACTTGAACTGAAAATTTTCAACTTCTTTGATAGCTTGAAGATGCTCTTACAAAGATATTAGGGAATAAAATTTTAGAGATCACTGTTTTTGATCAAGGATTCTCCATGAGGTGTGAACATTAGGGTCACCTGAGACCCAAATGACTTCCCCAAGATTGGCCCTGTGCATTTTTTACAAGCTCTGGTAATTATGCCACATGCAATCTTTTTTGAAAAGTTACTCTACGTATTCTAAACTTTCAACTTAGTGTCTAATCAAACACTCATTATTTTTGGCTTTATACATTTTCATTACTGGGGAATTAAAAGAAGAACCTCACTGAACTGTAAGCTATACTGCCATCCCAGTTACACACACATTCACAGTATAAGTACTGTCAATGGTTTGGAATGGATAGTGTGTGTGTGTGTGTATGGATAGGTATACATACGTTTAAGAAAATAAATATTTTTGACTTAAATATACTGCAGGATATACTGCTAAGGATAAAGGTGAGGGCAGAGTGCTTGCTAAGCATAACTTATACATGTTTATACATGAATATATACATACATAATTGTCATAATAAATGTGTATCAAGGAATTTCATTTAAATGTAGAACAGCAAAAGAACACTAAAAAGCATAGTACTCTTGTGAGCTCACTACTTTATGCTAGGAAGAACAGCCGTTTTTCACAAATTAATCACACAGCAACTCCAATGAGGTTTAGGGCAATAGTGATACCTGATAAAATAACAGGACCCTGACAACATGCCCCCATTGAAAGAAGGTTGTCAAAGGATGCTGCAATTTCAACGCTGTATCAAATAAGTCTTTTTAACACAAATATTTTGTTTCAGAAAAGGCATGAGCTCAAAACTGCTAAAATTCTTGGAAGACACTATGCTGACCCCTCTACCAGCAACGCACACACACAAAAGAAATTGTCAACGACTACCTCTTTACGTACTCTTCCTTAAAACAGCTAGGATTATGGCACGGCTTCTGCCAAAACGAATCCTGATTTTGAGAGAAAGAGATATCCCAAGGGATTATAAATCAGAGAATAAACAGCTTGTTTCTGGCTAGTTCCAAATATTCAAGTACTGAATATTCAAGCTCAGAAACAATATCCTAAATTTACGTATTCAGCATAATCAAGCCAAAGGAAAATATCAGGGTAAGAAGGGGACTTTCTCCCAGATAAGACATATAATCCATAAAGAACATACACCAAACATCTGTAAGGGTCATAATACTTACATCATCAATGTCTTCATCATCATCTCCAACATCATCAAACTGGATTTCATCATCCTCTCTGGGACCAAATGTGTCCATTTCATTGATTTTAGCTAAACATACAATAACAAAAATGCCCACTGAATAATCAAAATATTATTAAGTATTATTAAGAAAGAAATGGGTCTGACATAAAACAATACACATTCTTTATTTCAATTCATGCATGTTTCTTTACCAAAAATCCCAGAGATCAAATTAATAAAAGTCCCCCAGAAGATCCTTCATTCATTTAAAAATTGTTACAAAAACAAGAGCCATGTGTTCTTTTGTTCAAAGAGTATTTTAGTAAAGCCGACAGGCTCTGATTAGACTCACTGAAAACCTTCAAAATATCCTTCAGAAAGGATTTGAGAAAGGCCTAGAAATATCCTCATAGTATGCGAGTTCTCACCAGTCAGAGAGACTTAGTCAAATACCTGTAAGACATAAAACAAAAAGAGCTGCTAGTTTTAAAAAGGCCAATAATTTCATGAGGATCATCATTGTTAGGAAGAATCTTACTATTTTTATGATAAATGCACTGGAATTAAAAATAAACTAGCTGCCCTATAAAGAAAACATTGAGGCTTACAAATTCATGCATGGTCTTAGTTTAGTCTTTCCAAGTTTTCAAGTGACAATGCTTTATGTTGGCCTTTCAGAAAGAAAATAAGTATTTTTGTTTTATATACCCTGTAGATACAATCATGAATCATGAAGGGCTTGAATGTAACATGAGGATCCTGATGAAATTTATTGGCAGTTTAAGTGTAGCAGCTCTGTTTTGGTTTTATTTCTTACGCGTAAGCATGAATTGAGTAAATCTTTCTGACCGATAAGATGTAGCTCAGTGGTTGAGTACTACATTATGTGGAAGGCCCCGGGTTCTAATCCCAGCACTGCAATACACAAACCACACAACTCCTAACCATGCCAACACATAAAAGAACATTGTTCTCTATAAAAAATCAAAACAAGTATCATAATTGGCAATGCTTACATGAAAACTGCCAGTCTCTTGAGAATGGTGCAGCACACCAGCAACCCGAGCTACTCAGGAGACTGAGGCAGGGGATCTCATCTGGGTACATAGTGAAACCCCCTATCAAAGAATTAACAAAATAAAGTTGCCAGCTACTCTAAGAAAGTGGAGTAGAGGAGATCCTATTTTGAGACCAGACAAGCCTGATCATAAAAAAATTAGCAAGACCCTATTTCAAAACAGTAAACTGTGTTGGGTTAGATCACCATGTATAATCCTAACTTGTGAAATTAGGACGGTAGTCAGAAGCCAGCCTGAGGAAGCCACAGACCCTTGGGAAAACAAGTGAGAAGCAAACGACCTGGAGGGGTGACTTAAGAGGTAGTACACTTGACTACTGACCCCAAGACCCTGAGTTCAAATCTACTATCAGG